AATTAAAAAGTTAGAGAGAGCTAGACGTAGAGTCTAAAGGCATTGTTTTTTTCTCATCTGGAGACCCCAGCTCTGCCTTTCTCCATCATTTCAGTCAGTTGTTCCACCTCTTAGTCTAAATTTTCACTTTTGTGCACTATTATTGTTCTTGGGAGTCCTTGGTTGTCCATATAGATAAGAATTCAACCATTAGCTAAAAGGCTGACAGTATGAACCTATTGAAACAAGCCAGGAAATCTGTTTCTGTAATGAAACCCCTATGAAGTAGTCTTACTCTGCACATGTATGTCAGGCTAGAATTTACTTGACTGAAACTAATTAAAGCAACAAAAGTTGATATTCATAAAAATGGCTAATTTGGATTTATCTTCCAGGTTTTAGTTTAAATGTAACTCTCAAAAATACGATATATAAGACAAAGAAGCAAAATAAAACAAAGCCAATCAAAATTCACTACTAATAATTCCAATTCTAACTTATAGCACTAATTACCACAATTATAAAAACCTTATAGATGATTATGGGTATGGCATATAGCTGAGTAGCATTTTGTTCTGTTCTATCTAAGGTTGTTTTAAGTTGAAATTGATTTGAGAGCACCTAAAACAACAACTAATTATAAATTCAGTTTTAATGTCTGCTTCCTCATTGTCTATGAACAGGTTGAGCAGTATATGTTTTGGTCATCACAGTATCCATACAACTTACACATTTTGAATATACTGTTATCTAAATAAGTGTGTTGAATTTAATGATTAGATAGATGTATGCCTGGATGCTTTCTGATTTGGAAGATTTCTGGTAGTCAACATTTGATTTTCTACTTTCCAAGTCTATGCAGATGCATAAATAACCCCCAATACTAGGTGCTATCATTAATTTTATGTGTCTAGTTGGCTAAGTTACTGTGCCAAGTTGTTTGACTGACAGCTGGTATAGGGGTTGCTGTAAAATATTTGTGTGTAGTTAGCATGTTAATCACCAGGCCCTAATAAAACAGCATAATTTATAAATCAAATGCCGAAGACACAACCTTGCTTGCTGAAAGTGAGGAGGACTTGAACTTGCTGGTGAAGAATCCTCACAACTTGACCAATAGGTAACATAATCATTAATGAAGGAAAGATTGACGTTGTGACGGATTTTATCTTGCTTGAATCCACAATAAAAACAATTCAAAAGATCAAAGGACGCATGGCATTGGGTAAATCTGCTGCACAAGACCCCTTTAAATTTCTGAAAAGCAAGGATGTTACTTTGAAGATTATGGTGTGCCTTAACCAAGCCATGGTATTTTCAATTATGCCATATGCATGTGAAATTTGGATACTGAATAAGGAATACCAAAGAAGATTCGATGCATTTGAATTATGATGTTGGTGAAGAATATTGAAAATACCATGGATTTCCAAAAAAGCAAACAAATCTGTCTAGGAAGAAGTAGAGCCAGTAAGCTTCCCAGAGGTAAGGATGACAAAAGTTCATCTCACATATAATTTTGGACATTTTGTCAGAGGAGATGAGTCTCTGGAGAAGAACATCATGCTCGGTAAAGTGCAGGGGCAGTGAAAAGGAGGAAGGCCCTCAAGGAGATGGATTGGTACAATGGGCTCAAACATAACAACAATTGTGAGAATGGTGCAGGACTGGACAGTGTTTCATTCTGAGTACACGGGGTCACGATGAGTCAGAACTCACTCTAGGGTCCCTAACCGTAACCACAACAGTTAAATAAGGTGACTAGATTGGTGGACCTCATACACCCAGCAATTTAAGGCTTTAAGAATAAAATCAAAGATTTCTCCAGGGAGAATTTAACCTCTAGCCTGCAACACACTTTGGGTAAGAACAGCTCACTCTCCTCCACTCTCTGAACTAACAATGTGTCCCTTGAGACTCTAGAAGGTTCGTTGACATTTATTCACCAGCCCCTACAATAAACTCACTGCCATCAAGTCAATCTGAACTCATAGCACCCCAACAGGACAGAGTAGAACTGTTTCTGGGTGTTTATGGGAGTAGACAACCTCATCTTCCTCCGAATGAGCAGCTGGTGGTTTTAAACTTCTCATCTTGCAGTTAGCAGACCAACTCATAACCCACTGTGCCATGAGGGCTCCTTAGCCCTTAGAGGAGTATGAGCCAATCCTTTACAACCACTCTCTTCTCCTCTATTATTCTAGCTGTATGTATACACACACAAAAGGGGACTTCAAAAAGTTTATATGAAAATATAGTGGGTATTTTCAATGAAATTTTGAAGCCACACATACATGTATATGTATATACATGTGTATATGTATGTGTGTGTGTATATACATGTAGAGAAAGAGACCAAGTCATATATATACCAATTAAAATCCATGCACTTCAATTATGGTGCTGACAGAGAATATTAATAGTAACATAGACTGCCAGAAGAACAAATGTCTTGGTAGAAATACAGCCAGAATAATCTTTAAAAAGAAGGATGGCAACACTTTATTTCATGTACTTTGGGCATGATATCAGGAAATATCTGCCTCTGGAAAAAGGACCTCATGCTTGGTGTGTTAGTCTGGGTAGACTAGGGAAACAAATTCATAGACACTCATATGTGTATAGGAAAGAGCTTTATATACAAGGGCAATTGAATATTGAGAAAACATGCCAGTCCAGTCCAGATCAAGTCTATACATCCGATATTAGCCCATATGTCCAATACCAATCAATAAAGTCCTCTTCAGACTCATGAAACACACACAATGACATAAAATGCTGGAAGATCACAGGCCAGTGAGTGGGAAGTCTTGTGAATCCAGTGGCAGCAGAGGTATCTCAGCACTGGCAGGGGTCTCCACATGGTTCCTTCAGTTCCGAGATTTTATCAGCCTAACGCCATGTGTCTTGTCAGTAGAACATCTCTCAAGGAGTGAGCCTGTCTCCATCCAGCTTGTAAACAAGGATGTTTTGCAGGCACTGAGTTGAGAGAGTCTCCCACTTCCAGTGAGCAATACCAGAGTTCCCAGAATCCTCAGGAGAAGGCCATGCTCACACAGAGACTTCATTGGCTATCACTTGACTGACAGTCTAGACTCCACCCCTTCACTCTCAATCCTCTCCAATTGACAAATGATTATATAACTACCACACTTGGTAAAGTACAAGGCTAGTAAAAAAGTGAAAGACCCTTCACAAAATGAATTGACCCAGTGGCTGTAACAATGGGCTCAGACCTAACAATTGTGAGGATAGCAGAGGGCCAGACACTGTTTCTTTCTGTTGTGCATTGGGTTGCTATGACTCAGAACCAACTGATGGCAACTAATAACAACACCAGACACCAAACACAGTGAGTGGTGGTTTACAGGCTGTAAGAACGGTATGGAGGTGGTGTCTGACTTCCTCTGACATCAAATGGGGGAAGTAAAATCAGCCTCAACATCAGCTCCAGACTAGTCCCTATGAGGACAAGGTCAGACACACCTCCAGCCTTCAAACTTCTTCACCAATTCTAGTACCAACTGTCCCTCTCAGGGCACTCCTACTCCTCTGCTGGATTCACAGATTCATTCCAGTGGCCACCAGAACTCATGGACAAGTACAGTTATTGAGTTTATTATGTGAGTTAACAGGTTTCAATGCCTCTCCTCAGCCGTGCCACTGGCATGTCTCTCGCCATTCCTCAACCTTTTAGTCATGTGGTCCCTTGGCCTCTGCCCTGCTTGGGTAAATGTTACCAAGTTCTTTTAGTGCTGCCAATAAATGTCCAAAGAGCATGCCACTGCACCACAATCCATAAGGTTAAGACATTCATTTGTATTTACTCCCTGAGCTGGGCAGCCCTCCACTCTGTCACATGCTCTGGTTATTGGTTCCACTGCTGCTCCTCTGATATTATAGCTCTATCTCCTGGCCCGAGGGGGACTCCAAGAATCTTGGAGTCCAGAAGATGCACTCCACTCTTGTTTCTTCTTATTGAGGTCATTGAGACACTTCTTGATTCCTGCTTCTGAGTGACTCATTTTATTTTAACATTTGGCTGCATGAAAAATTTTAATTGCCTATATGACTCCCACGACCACAGAGGCATAGGGCAGACACTGTGTCCCCCACCAGGCCACAAGGGAAGAGGCATTTGGTTGATCCAAATAAAGAGGTTCAGGGGGTGACTTCCATTGCAACCATCAGTGTCTGCCCCACTTCTCTCAGCTCCCCTGAGATTGCTTATTTTAAACCCAACCAGCCCAATCCCTTCATTTGAGTCCCATATATTTTATTTCCATTATCACACCCAGTCATTTCATTTCTGGAACTTATGAACACTATGAATAGATGAGTCATGCCAAGTAATTCACTGCACCACAGAGACCTTATCACTAATTCTCCAAAGAATCTAAAAGACAATATAGTTTAGCAAATAAGGAAATTAAAATACAGAGGATACAATTAAAAGTTTAAAACAAATAAAATACAGAGACAGTGAGTTACTTTCTTAAATTGACTTGAGGAATTGGGACTTAAACATATATCTGAGGTTAAAAAGGAATAAATGCTTTCCTTGACTATACCAGTATTTCCAGTGCAATTTATAAATGTTTTGAATATTTAAATAATTTGTTTTTGGTTTCTAACATTATATAATTATCTAATGGGCATTATATTGCTTAGAACCGTATTAAAAGCATTAACGTTAAGGACAGTAAATCTGAAAAAACAAATAAGCAAAAACATTGTTTTAGGCGCAGGCCAAATTTGACAGAAGGCTCAAGCGTAAAAATCACAGAGATACAGCATGCTGCTGGAGAAAGCGGACCTCATACAGTTGTGGTTATATGCATTTCGTGTGATTCCACCAGCCAGTATAACAGTCAGCGTAACACTGAAAGCCAAGCAGTACTCACACCAGCTCCAGTGCCCTATGTAGGAAAACACTAAATGTTTGACGCCTCCTTTCTGGCCACAGGTACTCTTGTGCATTATTACATTCTTAGTTCCCCACTAACTTGCCCCCACCTCCTTTAGCTCAGACTCCTTGATCTCCTTAACTGTCTCCTTACCGCTTCCTTGATTTCCTTGTTGCGCAAACTGTAGATGAACGGGTTGAGGAAAGGTGTGAGTACTGAGTAAACCACTGCCAAGGCCCGATCATAGTCCAGCGAGTAGCTCTTCTTCAACCGTACATACATGAAGAGGATGCTCCCATAGAAGATGAGGACCACAGTGAGGTGGGAGGCACACGTGGAGAAGGCTTTCTGCTTGCCTGCTGCAGAGGGAACCCTAAGTACTGTGCGGATGATCTGCACATAGGAGGTGAGGATCAGCAGGAAGGTGGCCAGGATCTTGCAGGAATTGATAATGAAGTCCACCAGGACATTGATAGAGGTATCAGTACAGGCTAAGCTTAGCACAGGAGGAAAATCACAAAAGATGTGCTGAATGTGATTGGGTCCACAGAAAGGGAGACGGGAAACCAAGGAAATTTCAGCCACTGGCCCAGCCAAGCCTCCAAGCCAACAGCCAACAGCAATCTTGACACAGAGTGCTGGGGTCATGAGGGTGGGGTAGTGGAGAGGCCTGCAAATGGCTAAGTACCTGTCATAAGCCATGGCTGTGAGAAGGTAGCATTCAGTCGCCCCCAGGGAGTGAAAGAAATAGATCTGCAGGAGGCAACCAGAGAAAGAAATGGCTTTCTTTTCACTAAGCAAGTTGGCCAGCATCTTGGGGATTGTGGCGGCTGTGTAGCCAAGCTCCAGGAGGGACAGAATGCTGACAAACTGGTACATGGGTGTGTGGAGTCGGGAATCCAGGTGGACCACCAGGAATATCAGCAGGTTTCCCACTATAGTAGTGAGGTAAATCAGAAGCAGCAAGACAAAGAGGTAAGTTTGGACACCCTGGAGATGAGGGAAGCCTAAGATGATGAACTCTGTTACATGGCTCCAGTTCCCAGTGTCCATTGTTCACCTTTCATAGCCCTAAAATGCAAAGTATGAAAGTATATGGGAGGGAATTGAGTGATATAAATCCTAGCAACAGGCATGCTTTTGTCTCCCCTGCCTCCCAACCCCCCTGAGTAAAGCCCTTTCAGGAAATGCTTTGAAAAACCAGTCTTTAAATCTCCTCCTTAACAGCCTCCTTCCAAGTAGCAAAAAACAAAACAAAACAAACCATTGTTTTTGAATTGATCCTGACTGGTAGTCCCCTGCAGATAGAGTAGCACTAGAGCAGAGTAGAGCCACAGGGTTTCGGAGGCTATAAAATTGATGGATGTAGACTGCCTCATCTGGCTCCTTTGAAGTAGTTGGTGGGTTTCAACTGCGGCCTCTCTGGTTTGTAGCTGATTGTGTAACTACTACATCACCAGGTATTCTTTTCTTTCAGCTTATATATCTTTATCATTAGACTAACAACACCGACCCTGACTAACTCAGTTCTTTCTTGACCTTCAATATCCATTCTGCTACCAAATTATCTTCCATAGCATCCGTATAAGTTTTAGATTTTAAAATATTCATTTTCCAGGGAGCCATGGTGGCACTATGGGTGAGGTGTTGGGCTGCTAACTACAAGGCTGGCAGTTCAAACCACAAGCCATTCTTCAGGAGAAAGGTGAGGCTGTTTCTATAAAGATGTACATTCTTTGGAACCCTCTCTTGGGTCCCTACAAGGGAATCAACAGAGACTGCTTTTGTTTCTTTTTGGTCCAAGGCACATGTAATCATGTATATATATATATTTCTAGGTGCCTTGAGGAGCAATGATTAAAGCACTCAGCTGCTAACTGAAATGCCTGTGGTTTGCACCCACCAAGCACTCAATGGGAGAAAGGTATAGTAGTCTGCTGCTGTGGAGATTTATAGCCTCAAAAGCCCATGGGGCACTTCTACTCTGTTCTATGGGGTTGCAATGGTTAGGATCAGCTGGGCAGCCATGACTTTGGTTTGCTTTGGTTTGGGTATACATATTTCTTGTTTGAGATGCAACTTATTTAGCCCCTGGTAGTACAGTGTTTAAGCACTTGGCTGCTAACCAAAAGGTCAGTGCTTCAAATCTACCGTTGGTTCTGTGGAAGAAAAGAACTTACAGTCTGGCCATATAAAACAATCTAGGAAACTGTTCTGTCCAATAGGTCACCATGACTCGAAATCAATTCAATGGTACACAGTGATAACATCATACACCTTTCTTCTCCAAACTAGACATTTTAATTTATACTTATATTGCTAATAACTGTAACACAGATATGGAATTAGAATTATATTTTTAATTTTAATTTACTTGCTTTTTCACTTCTGCCTATCAAAGATTAAGTCCAGGATCCTCGGCTTCTTCTCATTTCTATTGTGAGTTCTAATATAATCTTTCAGCATCATGTAGATGAAACGTGAAACTTGTTTAGATATTGATCAGAATCCCAAACAAGGACAAGGGATTTCAGGTAAATTGAACAGCTAGGAATAAGCATTAGTGGTTTAGTCGGGTAAGCAGTGGGATGCTAATCACAAGGTCAGTGGTTCAAAATCCACCTGCTGTTCTGAGGTGAAAAGATGAAGCTTTCTGCTCCTATAAAGATTTATAAGCTTGGAAAACCATAGGGGCAGTTTTACTCTGTCCTATAGGTTGACATGAGTCAGAATCAACTCAGTGGCAGTGGGGGTTGTTACAGGAAGGCAGGGGGCAAGTCTACCTTTCTGCATTACGTACTCCAAAATAGTGTGACATCTTACTCAACTTTTCCTACTATTTTTCCACTTTGTGGATCTCAAACATACTCTTCTGATTTAATGCTTCCAAGATAACAAATAGTATTTATATGAAACGGTTTTGGTAAGTTCATGGGGAAATTCCATTATCTTTTATTTCTATTTTTACAAAAATCTTTGAAACCCCTTCATATTACAGTATAAATAAAAAATTTTTTGAGTGTGTTTGATATTTAAGGCATTAGAATAAATACTAAAGCAGTAAATAAGATATGGCCACTGATGTTAAAAAATTAGTATTTTTTGTTTAGAAAACTCTAAAGGCTGCTAATTAGTGTACACAGCTCTTTACTTGAACATTCCATAGGCACGGCAACATTAATTCACATACAGAACTAAGTCTCGTACCAATTCTTTCTCTTGATTCACTTACCTTCCAATGCCCCTCACCTTTATCCATATGCAGTATGGTTTTCACATTTTTCGACTCTACTTTCTTTTCTTTTTCACAGTCCTTATCATTTTCTAGGAACTCTGGGGCTATAGTGAACTCATCAGTGGACTGCTAATCACAGGGTTGTCGATTAAAACCTATCAACTGCTCCGAATGAGAAGGTTGAGGCTCTCTGTCCCTGTAAACATTCATAGTCTCAAAGACCGTATGGAGCAGCTCTACTCTATCCTGCAGGGTGGCATCTAATCAGAAAGGACTCGATGGCATTGAGCTTAAGTTTAGCTTTTTGGTTATCATTTTCGAATGTACTTTAATTTTCCTATTATTTATTATTACTTTTTTCATGAAAATGTCATCTCTATGAGGACAAATGTTGCTATTTATCTGTGTAATTCTTTGGTGTCGCTCAAGTGTCCAGAGCAGTATCTCGAGCATGGTAGCACCTCAATAAATATTATCAAATAAATAAATAAATTTAGTAGGGCAAAATGCTCATTGACATATGTACTTGTGTTAGAAGAGAAGTAAAGGAGCCACATGCTGCATGTCGCACTCAAGAAAGTCTCACAGGAGAGGCCATTCTTATCCAGAAATGATGGAAGAGTCAGAATTTTCCAGAAGGAAAAGTGAAATAAAATTATTCTAGGCCCAAAGCACCACTTGTATAAAGCAAACAGATATGAATAACATCCAAGTTCATCTGTCTGGCCTCCAGGATCCTTTAATCTTATCCAGACCGACTTTACATATTCTGCTTTTCCCTGGTATGCACTTCCTGATAATCACAGGTACTGTGCCAAATCTGCACCTCAAAGCCTTTCTTCCTTGGGGACTTAAGATCAGAAAGTTTCTCTGTGGCAATGCCATCTCTTCTGTTAGTCATCTTGCTTCATCAGGAGCATTTTAGTATCATAGATTTTTATCTTGACTTATTATTTTTTTTAATTTCAGGTTCAGATTCACGTCTGCTCACTTTCCAATTTTGCCTCCTTCAAAATTGAGGGCATACGTGCCTCTTATGAAAGATTAGCCCTAAATTTCTATCAACTTGAATTATTTGCTCTTAATTATGTATTAACATCCTTCCCACTCTACGCATAATCATCATTTCTGGATAAGCTTTTCTCTCTCTTTGCCATCACAATTGCATTTCTACTTTTATATGAACTATCCTGAGTCCTTAACTAAGCTTGAAGATCTGCTTGGCAGATGGCTTCTAGTTGAATATTAAAAGCCAATGCCTCGGTCTCTTTGTTTCCATTATTCCAAAGGCTTATTCACAATCTATACATTGCTTCACCACTCACTGACGACCTGCTGTCATTTATTCCCTGGAAACTGCCAGGGGATCATTATGAGCAAATCAGATAGGACTCCCTGCTAAACATTAGCAACCTCACATTCTTGCAATTTCCCAGTTTTCATTTCTCCACAATTTTGATCACTCTTTTCTGCCTTTTGCACCCCATTAAATATGGCATCAGAAGCCCTGATGGCACAGTGATTAAACCCTGTGCAGCACATTGAAAGGTCAGCAGTGTGAACGCACCAGCTGCGCTGCTGGTCAGAGATGTGACAGCCGGCTTTTGTAAAATGGCAACCATGGAAATCCTAGGGGGAGATTTTACTCTGTCGAAAAGGTCTTTATGAGTATGAATTAATTGATGATAGTAGATGTGGCTTGGTTTTATACATAGCAAAAAATTATGATCACTTTCCCCTCACATGATTTTTTACTTCATTTTCTTTTACCCTTTCTATGAAATGGTGATCGTGCTTTAGATTCTTTAACCCTTTCAATTACAAATCAAATTGTTGCCCAGTTCCTAACACACACACACAAAAGATTGAATCAATGTTCGTAGAACTTTTAAGAATTATCCCCAGGAGCTACCTCATATAACCTTGTGTTTCATTGGATCGTTATGAATAATATAAATGCATCAAATATTTCTTTACTTAGGTGCAGGCCTTTCAAACTAAAAACAATGGGATATTTAAATAAGAGAATAAAAATATGCAGTCTGCACCAAACTGAATACTGTTTCCTATTTTTGTTCAGAAAAGTTAAAACTCAACTCTTCCCCACCATAAAGGAATACATGCCCAAAGGTGAGCTTTCAGCCCCAGTCAGGCCTGACAGTGCCAGACATTAAGTCCCTGCTTTGATGATCCAATTCTTTCTATTGTTGAAATGCTTCATGTTGCCTAAACTCGACCATCTGACTTTTATCTATTATTCCCAACTCTGCTCTGCTCTGTTGCAAAGGCCTCCATCTAGTGTCTCTTGTCTCTGGTCCAGATTTCATGCTTTTTAATATGATGTTCATTATCATTATAGAATTTTTTTCAGGAATTTTACTTTTCATTAAACATGCCCTATATATGTCTTTTATTCATTGTGTTGTAACCTCAATAGAAATAAACTCTTTCGAGACAAATTGTAGAGATCTAAACCATTTTCTGACTAAAGTCTCTCACTGTCTCTTCTGACTACTCAAGGTGAATACTGATCTCCTTAGCCTCTAAATTTCGGGTAGAATTTTCTTACTCTTTGTTGAATTATATACTGTCATTTAATGAAAATTTACTTTCATGCATATATCTCAAATCAACTCTATGAGCTTTGTGGAAATAATAAGTAAATGTCATACTATACCCTGCATCAGTGTTAAGAACAAGGTTTGCTACATTACTGCTGTGGTATCTAATGAAGAAGAGGAAGATTATAATGTTATTATACAGCTCTGTAGCTTGCCAGTATCTCATTTTTTCCCATAGGCTCAAAATCTACTGCCCT